TCCAGAGGATTTTTTGTTCTTTGTTAGGAAGTCATTCCTTGCTGCCTCTGTAAATTCTTGAGAAGGTCTGTGGGGGTGAAGTTGGGAGACAGAGAGATTTCAGGGGCTCTGATTTCTCTGGGACCTGGGCCCAGTGATTCTGACCACCTCTTCACCCAGCACCGCCCTCAAAACAGAAATAACACCCTCCTCGCCCTACTGAACACTTCCTTTTCAATGATGGGTAAATGTGATCGAAAGCTCATTTACTTCAGCCTGGCATGGCTTTTCTAAGAATGAAACGGGCAAGTGCCCTCTGTTTCCTCTTGGGTCTCCTTGCTGATGGCGTCTATGTTCTGTGCAGTGGCTAGAACAAAGCTGGTTATGACCACCCCACCCCCAGCCCCCACCCAGCTGCCCTGATACACACACATCACAGTGGAGCAGCCTTGTCTGATATGGTGGAAAGCGCTTTAGTTGAAGGATTAGGAAGTCTGTTTTCTTGTGTAGGGTCTGCTGGTGGCTAGCTGAATGGCCCTGGGCACAAATAGCTAACTTCTCTTAAGGTCTCAGTTTCTTTACCTGTAAAATCATGATGAATGGACAAATCAGACCCTATCTATTGCTCTGGGCTGTTTTTAAGATCACATGATGATAATGTGTTTATGAAAATGCATTGTAAATTATCGAGTACTATATAGCATTGGGGTTTTATTATTATTAAAATGCCATATTTATTTATGAAACAGATTAAAAAAACCAGGGCTTTGCTTTATGCGGCTGAGTAAGAGAGGGAGGTAAATTTTAAAACAAAAACTTCATGGTAAGTGTGATGATATTCTCCATTTGTGCGCCACTGCTTTCTTGGGTAAACCACTCTGTGCCCCAGGAGGCTGGCCTGCGCTTCCAGACTCTCTGGTTGGTTTAACACAGGGACGGCACCAAAGATCTGAGCTTGAGAGGTCAGAATAGTGTCTCTTTGTCTTCTTCCTTAGAACACTATGGGTTGGCAAAGACTATATTCCCCTTTAGGAAGGCCAGAGTTCTTGTTGGGGCCCTTCTTCTATAACTATAATAGATAGCACTTTCCACTACTGGTAGCTGTGCCATCTCTTTATCTCTTTGAGTCTAGGGTGGTTAACGCTCCCATTTTGAT